GTTCGGATCATTTGGGATAGTGTTTTCTTTATGATATTTCTAAGTGAAGATTCATCTTGTTTGTAGTTGTGCATTGGGCTTTTGTAGATAATATTTGTTATTTTTGAGTGTGTGTTCACAATCGTTATTATTTACTTTGGAAAGAAATAGTCTAATTTGCTGGTCGATGAGGTGGTTAGGAAATCCATTGTTAAGTAGTGTTTGTTTTGCATTGTTGAGTTCTTTAAGGAAAAGTAGACGAGAGGGTGAATTCTCGTGTGTTCTCTTTAGGAATTTTTTTATCACTGCTATTTTGTATCTGAGTGGGTATTCACTCTTAAAATTAAGGTGGCAAGAGTTTCTGCTCGTGGTTTTTTATACAATGAGGTGGTAAAGTGTTGTATTTTTCGAGAAAGTCTGGGAGTTTTTTTCGACTAAGTTCGTAGGTAAAGTTGAGGACAGATTTTTTTTCAAATGTGGTTTCGAATGTATGTATTTCTTTTGTGTTATTCGCTAAAATAAAAATATCACCTACGTAGCGGACATATATTTTAGGTTTACAGACATGTTTAAATATCATGTTTTCTACATGGAACATGTAATAATTGGAAAAGCACGGGCCGAGCGGATTTCCCATACTAAGACCATTAGTTTGGGTGTAGATGTTGCCATGATGGTCGGAGAAAGGAGACTTTGGTAGTGCATAAGGTTAGGCTCAGATACACACCCATGCATTCGAGCACACACACACACACACACACACACACATAAATATATATGAATTCATATTTTTCTAGTTCATTTTAAAGAAAGTTTGAAGGGTGTATACATAAACACACACAGACACACACACACATGCGCGCACACATATATAAATTAATAAATATACATATTATCCCTCAGCAGTAACACAACGCGAAGTTTCATGCACAACTCAATCTTCAGGTGCTGGATAGAGACTGACTTAAGTAATAATGAAAATTACGTAATGGGCATTCTATACTCAACACCTGAAGACTGCATGAAACTCCGAGTTGTGCTACCGGTGAGGGATATATGTATATTTATTAATATATATATAATACCTCTTTTATATTACATCACACACTGTTTTATTAACAGCATATTTGCGATATATATATATATATATATATATATATATATATATTATATATATATAATTCGACGGGGAGTCGAGTATATACATACATACATGCATATATATATATTCATATATATATATATATATATATATATATATATATATATATATATATATCCATCTATATATATATAGTTCGACAGGAAGTCAGTATATATATATATATATATATATATATATATATATATATATATATATATATATATATATTTCAACTCTCCTTTTCGACGGGAGAGTTTTTATATATATATATATATATATATATATATATATATATATATATATATATATATAACTCTCCCGTCGAATTTAAAGGGTCAAGCAGATCAGTTACTAGGAAACCTATAACCTGACACCAGCACATGAGATTAGATTATAGTGGGCAGAACCATCCACACTTTTTGAAGGGCTGAATACAAAGACCCGGTGCACTACTCTCGGCAGGTTTTGAATTCAGTTTTGTCCTTATCGCCAAGGCTGTCTAACCCAGTCTGTACTGCTATTTACCCATAGTTGAAGGGATAAGAAGAGGATTCATACCTTTCCATGTGTATTAGCACGTAAGTGTATGTAATGGCTTCGACTAGAATTCGAACTCGGCTCTCCGATTCCTCAATTCATTACTCCATCATTATATATATATATATATATATATATATATATATATATATATATATATATATATATATATATATATATATATATCGTTTAATCGTTAAAAACATTGTATTTTTATGAAGTTATACACACAATTGTATATATATATATATATATATATATATATATATATATATATTTAATGATGTTATTAGTTTTACGAAGATAAAAATGATTTCTTATTACCGGCTTTCTATTTAATGTATAATATTAATTCATGTTGAAGCTTGTTAACAAGAACTAACATTCATTAACCTTATACATTAAAGCTGAAGCTGGTAATAAGAAATCATTTTTATCTTTCGTAAAACTAATAACATCACCAAATATTTTTACGTAATGAAAATAAAAAAGAACATAAAAAGCGAAGATACAAATAAATTAGAATCTAAATTAACAATATGAACAATATTAATTTCGAAAACTGCTTTAATAGTTTTAATAATAATTACAGCAACGATAATAAAAATACTATTTTATGTCTTTGCAGAAATAAAACATAATGCCCTCTGAGAAAAAGTTTAAGACATAGTATGATATATAAAGCTGCCTTAAAAATAATATTAATAAGGAAGAAAAACTTTATATAGGTGCAAGAGAAAAAAACTCTAAAAGATTTTGCAATCATAAAATGTCTCTCTGTATATGATAACAATACTAATCTTTTTAAATATATAAGGGGGAAAATTTTCACTAACATTAAATGGAGAATCATAAAGAATCATAATGCCCTTGCAATATTAATAACAACAACTACAGATTGTGCTTAGAAGAAAATTACAAATAATCAGTTTAAAAAAAATAAAAATAGCAAGTTAAATAGCAAGTTTGAAGTTCTGAATAAAAGCACCTACTTTTATATATAAAGCCAGATTAAAATATTATAAATTAATATAAATTATAATTTTAAATATTACGATAATATAATAAAAATAAAAAGTTATCAAAATACAAGGACCTTGAAATCGAAATCTCAAAAATGTTGCACAAGAAGAGAACATCAACAATTACTGCTGTAGTTGGAGCCCTCGGATTGGTTGGAAAATATTCAAATAGACTCATTGAAGAGATTTCTGGTAGCTCATGCCTTAAAGAAACACAAAAAATTGTTCTCGCAAGTACAGCTCTCGCCTTACGAATGGCTTTATCTATGTAAAATATTTATGTGTGTATAGTTTTTTTTTTTTTTTTTTTAATTGCTCAGTGGAAAATGTCAAGATGCCATTTCTGACCTTAGGTCTTTGGTCGGGACCCGGAAAGAAATGAATACACACCAGAAATCAAAGGAAATATATAATAATAATAATAATAATAATAATAATAATAATAATAATAATAAAACTACTTGTAATAATAATATAAAAATAAAATAATTAAATCTTTTGTGTGTGTGTATAAAAGGTGCCATATTAAAATGAAATATTTCTTTTTTAAAAGTGTATACTTATAGGAAAATGACAGAAATGTCATCTCGTGACGCACATGTATTTTAACTGAAGTAGTAATTTCACTGATATAAACTTTTATTCTTCTGTGCCAGGTCATGATTTTCCACAACTTCCTATCCTTTGTAGTTCCTTTCAATGTTTGTCATTTTATTATCTCACCACGAGTAGCATGGCCCGGAGTTGCCCGTGCTTGATTCAAAAATCGTACGACTTATACAGCAATTGCTATCACTTGACTTAAAATATTTTTACCCTTCCTTGCCTTTAAAGGAGTGCCCTTTGCCGTGCTGATGTTGCTACATGCCTCACTTCTTGCCTATCTCACACTGCGAATTTTTTCTAAGCTCTATACTAAACATTAAATCTGTTACGAAAAAAGAACTAAGAAAAATGAACATAAAACGATTAGCTTTAAAAAAGGACTCGTAACTGGAAAAACCGAATGAAAAAAGAATGTTAACAACAAATACTTTTTCACACCCAACCCAGTTCTGCGGAATCAGAATCAACGTTGAGTTTAAGCAAGCAAATGAGCCAATTGGAGTAAAGTGCCATGCAGATTTAAATTTTTTCCACTTGGGACGAATGCAGCTATCGATATTTTTTTGCATGCTAGCATGCTAGTTAACATTCGTGTCAGTCAGCTGTTGGCTCTCACGCTGGCCAATAGAATCTTCTTGTCTATTCGTGGCAGCCAGATATAGGCTCTCACTCTGGCCAGTACAAAATGGGCGCAAACTACATGAAAACTGCCGTAGAAGCATGAAAAAATCGATTATTTCTACTATCGATGGGAGTTGGGAAATGCAAAGTCGGTCTTGGCCTTACCGCTAACTTGGAGCACGTGTATGTAAATTTTGGTGCAAATCCGTCGAACATTGCGGCCGTGTATTCGTTACACACACACACACACACACACACACACACATGCACACACATGCACACATCCTGCCTTTTAGAGATAGAGATTCCCGTTCTTCTATCCATTTAGAAAGACACGTTCGATAGGATACACTCTGTTTCTCCCTGTTCCCCCTGCTTTCATTATTTCCAGTGATTGTCAAATTTTCCATTCCTTCTTTCCTCATAAATTTCAAATATCTCTGTGTGAGTATGTTTAGCTCGATAGGTTGGTTATTTTAAAATTTATTTGGTTTCATTTAATCAACGATCTCAAAAAGAGTTTACTTTCTATTATCTCTCTTACAAAGCAGTGTTGGATGTGGATACCGAAGACAAGGATTGAACGTGGAGCCTTTCATATCTACGGTTTAAATTTATTTAGGTGTATTAGATTGTTAAAAACGAAAATGACTTTTGTTGTCTCGAATTATATACATGATAAGAAAAAAAAAAGAAGAAAAATTAAAAAATATTAAATTAAATTATAAAAGTAACATGGAATAAGGGTTGAATTAAATTCGAAATACAATTATTAGGTTAATGAAAAAGTTTCCAGTATACATTTTGATAAAATTCTTTTATTCGCTTGATTTCATAGCATCATTATTCAGCCATAAGAGTATTTTTCTGACATTTCTTTTGACTTTATGTCAAATTTTTGCTTAAATTAGATATTTTAGCATAAAAGAAACATTCCAGTTTTGCTTTGATGAATTCTTATAGGAATATTTGGAATTATGAACTATGAAATTTCTGAAGCAAAGAATGGTGACAGATTTGTTGAATAAACCGCATTTGGAATAACTTACGATTGTTATTCCGTTGCATTTTTAGTCTATCACTTGACTTGTTTAAAGAAAAACATAGATAGATAGATAGATAGATAGATAGATAGATAGATAGATAGATAGATAGATAGATAAAAGAAAGGGAGAGAGAGAGAGGGGGGGAAGAAAGAGTGAGAAGTGAGAGAGACAAAGAGAGCGACAAAGAGAGAGAGGAAGAGAGAAGAGAGACAGAGCCAGAGAGAAGAAGAGAGAGCGAAAGAGAGAAAGAGACAGAGAGAAAAAGAGAGAGCGAAAGAGAAAGAGAGAGAGAGAGAAAAAAGAGGAAAAGAGAAAATGAGAGAGAGAGAAAAAAGAACGAGCGAAATAGAGATGGCGAAAAAGAGAGAGGAGGAGAGAGACAAAGAGAGAGAGAAAGCAAAGAGAAAAAGAAAGAGGGAAAAGAGAGAGAGCGAAAGAGAGAGGGCGAAAAAGAGAAAAAAAGAAAGTGAGAGAGAGAGAGAGAAAAAAGAGAGAGAAAGAAAGATACAGAAAAAGAGAGAGAATAAGAGAGAGGCAAACAGAGTTAGAGAAAGCGAAAGAAAGAATGAGAGAGAGAGAGAGAGAAAGATAGAGCGAAAGAGAAAGAAAGAGGAGAAAAAGAGAAAGTGAGAAAGAGAAAAAAGGGCGAGCGAAAGAGAGATGGCGAAAAAGAGAGAGAAAGAGAGAAAGACAAAGAGAGAGAATGCGATAGAGAGAAAGAGAGAGAGAGAAAAAAGAGAGGAAGAAAGAGAAAGAGAGAGGGAGAAAAAGTGAGAGAAAAAAGAGAAAGTTTGAGTGTGAGAAAAATAGCGAGCGAAAGAGAGATGGAGAAAAAGAGAGAGAAGGAGAGAAAGAGAAAGTGAAAGAGAGAGAAGTAGAGGGAGGATAATTTCTAATGTTATTTAAATGAAACAATTACTGCTCTTTTAGAAATAAAGATTTCCCTTGATTCCCGCCAAATACAGATAAGTTTTTTTCCCCCTCAATCACAACAAGATTTTGTTTCAGTTGAAACAATGATAAGTCACATTCATGAAACTACGGTTTTCTATATTTTGGGCTCTCGTAAGACAGCAGTAACGACTATCTTGACTTAAAATCATTTTTTCTGCGTAGAGAAAAAATGTTTAAACGCTGACCAAAGTTTATTGCTGTGGAACCCAATTTCATAGCTTCTCAGTTTTTCTAAGGCTTCGTACCACTTAAAAAGTAAGGGTAGAGAAAATCCGCATTTAGTGGCGAGACAACGAAATTAGGCATAGTTGATCATATATGTAAACAAAACGGTGATCAACAACGCCTGTGGAATGAAGTCAAAATGCCAGACACAGAAAAATACTGGAAAATCAGACACGTAAACAAATCAGCACATATACTAGTCTATAAGGTCTTCCTCTTTAGGCCTAACATAAAAATCAAAACGGTGGGACCGATATGCCAACCTAGTAGCGCACTTAAATCCATGCAGATGGGGTACCAATGAAAGTAGCTCGTCAGAGCATTTGCCGTGAAAATATTTGTAGAAAAGACAGAGGGAAGCCACATCAAGTCTGTGAGAAAGTGACTGTAGACGAGATGCCAAATTAGGACCTATCACATTGCATATCCGTCTATGGATGTTGTCGAGGACCTCGAGATGAACAGCGGGGGTACCAGAACATATATGGCAACAGTATTCAATGCAATGAAAGGAAGGAAGTTGTGGAGAGCCATGACCACCTGTATTCTGAAGGAAGATGGCATTAAAAATAAACGAATAATAGTTTATATTTCCATTTAAAATTCCCTTCTACTAGGTTAATTTAGTTTTGTTTAATTTCTTGTTTTTTTGTACACTTATAGTGAAAAGATAATAGAACAATTATAAGGAGAGACTTGAGAAAAGAATAGATTTAAAAAAACAATTAAACGGGAAATTTGAATGACCTCAAATATTCAACATTTCAAACACGAACACTTTATTAACAAGTTAATAACACATATTAGAAAAATAGGTAAGGAAAAGATAGTGCCTTTTGATTTTAACTGGAAATACCACGCAGTCACACCCATCTTTTCGTCGTTTTCTTTCCTTTGGTTAACAGGAGATAAATTCCGGTTTGTTATTTTTTATATTATTTTTGAAACATGTTGGCTGAATATAAGTTGTATTTGAAGAACCATAAAGTGAGGAACAAAAAAGGCTTGGTAGAGGAAAAAATAAAACAATTTGTTGGATTTACTTGAAAGCGGAAAGCAATAAAATCGCTAATTTCAGAAATATTTGTTATCGATAAAAACAGAAAAGCATGGTGGATAGATTAAAATTTGAATGTAGGCGTGCCTTTTATATTTTCTGGTTAATTAATATCTTATTCGTTATTAATATTATTTAATTATTACTTTATATAATTATTGTGTCCTTTTGTCACATTACCCTTAGTCAATAGTCTTCATTATTTTATTACTAGTTCCATTCTATCATACTATTGTTGTACTTTATCGCAACACCCCGTGTCAATACGCTTTTCATTATTTCTATGCTTTTATTACAAGTTGTTGTTGTTGTTGTTGTTGTTGTTGTTCTTCTTCTTCTTCTTCTTCTTCTTCTTCTTCTTCTTCTTCTTCTTCTTCTGTGCCATGTTTCTTGATGACGTAGGCACTCCACAACCTTCCACATCCTTTGTAGCCCTAGGCAGCGTTTGTCCCTTTACTAAGCATTCTATCCCCGTTCCGTCGTCCATTCACATAAGCACGGCAGGTAGATGGCCCACTGCTATCCCCTACAATTTCTTGTATTCGATATGCCTTGTGTGGGTTAAGTTATTCAGGCCCACCTTCTTCATTATGTCTCCAAGAGATGTTAGGCTTTTGCTACCATTTTTATTAAGACTTCAACGATGCTCATTTGCACTCTTCTTAATTTCTGTACTTTTATTGTTCTTTCTCCTTAACAATGTCTTCTTTTTCTCATATTCTCTCACACTCTGTAATCCCTTGTAATTTAGTGGCTTTATTGCCTTGTTTGAGATGAAAAAAATTAAAACAAAGTGAGGAAGGAATTATTATCTATTTAGATCTAGCTAGACAAGCTTCCTAGCATAAAAAGCAAGGCAATAAAAGCCACAAGGATGCAAGGAGCTACTGAGATTAACAGACGCAGAGAGGAAAATAAAAGAACAGGATTGAAGGAGACTGAATATGACGACTGACATTGTATTAAAACTTTTGAAGACCAAAGTTGACAAGAAAGTTGGAAGCGAGTTACATAAGCGAGAAGTGCGGAAGAAGAAACATTTAGCATAGAACTTACGGTTAAAACTAGCAATTTCAACAAGTATGAGTACTCGCTGTAAATCAAGTACTGCGCTTGAATTGGTGACCCGTTGTGTCTTAGTGGCTTTATTACCTTGCTTGGGGTGAAATGATTAAGTCTATTATTTATGAGGTAATAGCAGGTCAAAACAAATTTCTGTTGTCTCCGGTTTTCTCTTCATCTCTGGGGATATTGTCTAGCATTCACTGCCATACAAGAGGATTGATATCATGTCACAGTTCAGCATTCTTTTTTTTGTTTTTAATGAAATTTCCATGTAGCCTTTAATTACTTTGGGTAGAGATTGCAACTCATTGCATAATGAGTATCTGGTCCATTTTATTTTATTTCTTAATCAAAGTTTTTTTTATAAGGAAAGAGACTGAGAGAGAGAGAGAGAGAGAGAGAGAGAGAGAGAGAGAGAGAGAGAGAGAAATTCGTAATTGACTACTAATGGTGAAAAAGCTTTATCTAAAAATTGATAATGAAAAATGATTTCTGTGTTGTTGTCAGAAACAGCTTTTGTACATTTCTTAAAATATAGTTTACTCATTCAAACAAATTATAAAGTTATAAATAATGCAGTCTTTCAAACCTTATTTTCATTTCTCTGTTTGATCGGTGAAACATGTCAGAATAAAAGTTTTTAGAAATTATCACACACACACACACACATACATACACATACACACATTTGCAAAAATAAGCGTCTTAATCAAAAGGCCAGTTCTTGGAATGTTCAAACCCTTCTTGATTGTAAAGTGTCAGATAGACGTGAAAGTCGTACTGGAATCCTTGTTAAGGAGCTTACTAGATATAAAACTGAAATTGCCACATTCTCTGGAACTCGATTCAATCTCGAAGATAATTTAACTGAAATAGGATCTGGTTATACTTTCTTCTGGGAAAGTAAACCGTAGGGTGAAAGGTGTGATGGGGGCATTGGCTTTGCCATCAAATCTGAGCTAGCTAATTTCCTACAACATCCTCAAGGCTTTAGCGATAGAATTATGCAATTAAGAGTTCTTCTTCCAAATAATCGTTGCAATACTATTATTTCCGCCTATATCCTACCACTCTTACAAGCAGCGAGGAAATGATTCTGGCCTTTGATGAAGACCTCAGAACAATACCGACGAAGTTTTCTGTAGCTGATAAAATCCTTCTGCTCGGAGACTTTAATACAAGGGTAGGCCAGGATTATAGCATCTGAGATTTTCTGGGAAAATATGGTCTTGACAAGATGAACTGTAGCGAGCTCCACTTCTTGAATTATGCACTTAGTTTGATCTTGTTATTTGCAATTCTTTGTTTAATCTAAAAGAAATCCATACAGTAACCTGGATACATCCCAGAACCAAACATGGTCACATCCTTTACTATGTAATCACTCGTAAACGTGATAGCCAAGATGTTTGTTCGGTGAAAGTTATAATGGGTGATGACTGCGGTACTGAGCATATGAAAGCGAAATTAAAACTTCGTGTTAGGCATAAAGTTAGATGAAATGGCGTAAAGGTACCAAATCGTATGAATGTCTCTAGACAAAAGGATCCTAAAAGGAAAGAGAAACTTCAAGGAATCTTTAAGTGAACCAATTTTGATGGGAATTGGGATCAGTTTAAGACCTGTGTCTATCAAGCGAGTACTGAGGTTCTTGGTTACGCTGAGCGTAAACATCGGGATTGGTAAAATGATACCGAAATTAGCAAGCTTCTGAAAAGGAGGAACAAAGCACACCAGAAGTACCTGGGTGCATATGAGAGAGAGGTCGAACAATATTACTGCAGTCATTTAATGATGCTAAGTTATTATCGTAACATAATCCCCGCAGAATGAATAACCAGTGGTGGCTAAACTTGTTTAACAAAATGTAAGTTGTTTAGCAAATAAGCGTTTGAATCAATATCCTCAAAGATGGCTCAGTCATACTTAAAGATCCTGATGATGTCAAAAATAGATAGATTCAGCATTTTACAGAGCTTTTTCACAATCCGCCAGAGCTTTTTCACAACCTGCCTCAGCTTAGCATCATAAATGAAATCCTTGTTCTCTCTACGCTAGAGGAAATTCAGAAAACCCCAAAGGCGATTAACCTCAGGAAAACACGTGGTCTTGATGGCATTCCAATTGAATTCATACTTTATGGTGGCATAAAGCTAGCTAAAGGGATCTTTCATTTTATAATTAAAATATGGCAAAATGAATCCAGGAGATCTTTCATTTCATAATTAAAATATGGCAAAATGAATTCGTACATCAAGACTGGGTTGCTGCGATACAAGGGCAAAGGATTAAAATCAGATTGTAATAACTACCGTGGAATATATTTACTTGAGTCAGTTGAAAAAGTTTTTGTGAAAATTCTGAATAGCCTCTTTATAAAACGGATCAATCCTCTATTAATCTTTGATAATCTCAGAAAGTCAGAGCGGATTTATGTCTGGACGAGGAATTATAGATAGCTCTTCAGCTGCAAGATGAGTGAATTGAACTTTGTGTTCCCTTGTATCAAGTGTTTGTTAACATAACAAAGGCCTTTTGTACCGTTAATAGAGATGCTCTGTGGATTATTTTTTTAGGCAAATTGAGATATTCACCAGAGTTTGTTAAAATATTTCGAGAATTACACAGCAATATGAAGAGCAGACTATAATAGTATTCTATCAGAGCCTTCCCAATTGATAATGGTATAAAGCAAGATGATATTTCAGCTCCTACTAGCATCTATTTTGCTGTAACTTTAGTTGAGTCTTTTCAAAACTGTGATGATGGCATTTGGTTCAGAACAAAGGGATGTTTGTTTTTATAATTTGTGACGATTCAACGCACGATCTAAGGTTTTCAGACTGATTATTCGTGAATTGTATGCTGATGATACTGATCTTGTTGCTCACAGTGAAGATGATATGCAAATGATAATGGGCCATTTCTCGGGGCCTGTACTGCTTTTGGACTAACCATCAGTTTGAAAAAGACAAAAGTCATGTACACGCCTCTACTTGGGCTGCTTTTTTATAAAACGTTAAACGTTAACGGATCCAGGCTGAAGGTAGTCGACACTTTAGTATACTTAGGCAGTGCGCTCTCTAAGGATGGCACACGGATGCAGAAGTGAATTATTGCATTGAACGACAGAGTTAAGCATTCAGAAAACGTAAAAAGAGAGTATAGTTTGATTGTAAAATCTCAAGGAAAAAAATCCGCATCTACAAAACAGTTGTCCTAACCACACTTTTATATTTCCTCTGAAGCGTGGATTCCTTATCGAAGGCATATTAAGGCCTTAGAGCGTTTTCACCAGTGATTTTTCTATAAATTTAGAGATTCGAGATAAAATTCAAAGAAGAATCCGAAATATCATTGATCCTAACCCGGAATCTCGGCTTCAGTTACTTTTCCTCCGCCAAAATGTAGCTTCTCTGTTCCTTTTCTATAAGTTCTTTCATGGTAATTGTTCGGATGAACTCTCAACTATAGTAGCTAGTGAATATAAGCCCAATACTAGATTAGCAATAAGGTTTCTTCAATCTACAGTTGAATCAACTAAATGTAAGTTCTATGCTAGCAGTTTCTACTCTCGCACTTCTCACTTGTGAACCTCTCTTCCGGCTCTATGCTTTCCGGCCAACTTTTACTGTCTTCTTAAAATAGTTGAACATATATATATATATATATATATATATATATATATATATATATATATATATATATATATGTGTGTGTGTGTGTGTGTGTGTGTGTGTGTGTGTGTGTGTGTGTTGAGTTAACATTTACACGATTCGCAGGACATATTGAAAGTAAGAGGCGCAGATAAAAACAATGAGTACCCTATCAAACGAATTTGCCTAAATGGATGGCAGAACACGGACTTGTAGGGGAGTTAATTGCTTAGAGCCACGAAAGCAATGATCGCCTACGTCCAGAAGCACAATGATGATGAGCAAAAAGAAGAAACATTATAATTTCACTTGTCCTTCCCTTTGTTAGCACGACCGTTACGCCTCATAAATAATGGCCTATTCCGTTTTGACCACAGGGAAAGACGGAAAAGACACATCACAGACGCTACATGGTTTCATTGAGAAAATGAAAGAAAGGAAGAAAAGAAAAAAAGAAGGGAAGAAAGAAAGAAACATACAAGTGTTTAACGTCGCTTGCTAATAATTATTAAATAATAGTTTTAATCAGGTGGAAAGTCGGAAATGACATATCGGTAACGCTACTTGGATTCATCGAGAAAATAAAAGAAAAAGAAAGAAAGTAAAATAGAATTGCTTAACATCTGATTAAGTGAAATGGAAACATGTTGTCAATTTCAATTCTTTTCATTTGTACTCCCTTACTTCTTAAAATAACGACCAGTATATCTATGATTGTTATTGCAGTATTTTGTTAAAGTTGTTAAGCTCAAATAGTTAACGATGCGATGAGGGAATTTCTACGGATATTTTATTGCAACAGAACTCCCCGTGAGATTATTCAATCGTTAAAAATTTTAAAATTAATCTGAAAATTCAACGGTGAAATTTTCACGGCTATTTTATAACAACGCCTTTTTTAAAATTGTTAGACATTTATCATTTCCAATGGAAAACTAATTGGACCTATTATACTTTCGAGTGATAAAGTAAAACAGGAAAATGTTTGAAAATGCGTGTTTTTTGTTCTAAACATGATGCATAGGAAATAAGAAACATGAAAAGGTAATCAGAGGAATAAAATAGTCGCGGGAAAAAAACATGGCGGAGGTGGGTGGCGAAAGTGTAATATCGCCAAGAACTTAATTATAATTTGTATTATTTTTGTCTGATAAACAAAGAAGAAGAAGAAGAAATTTATTATAATTCCACTTGTCCCTCCTTTTGTTAGCACGACCGTTACGTCTTGCAGGCACCTCATAAATAATGGATTATTCGGTTTTGACCGCAGACGCTACATGCTTTCAGTGAGATAATAGTTGTTATATTTTTATATTTTTGTTTAATTATTGGTAACACTTGCTAAAGGTTTTGTTAATATCATCCATAAAAAATTGCGTTGTTGCATTGTTGTGTTGTGGTGTTGCATTTAAAAAGGATAGGAACTTGCGGAGAGCCATGTTTACCTACGTCCTGTAGGGACACTGCACATAAAAGAAAATTCTGTTTCTTGCACGAAGAATTTTAAAATTAGAATAGAAAGCTGATAATACAGACTGGACAAGGAAGGAGGAAGGAAGGAGAGAGAGAGAGAGAGAGAGAGAGAGAGAGAGAGAGAGAGAGTGATAAACGCCTAGAAAAACAAATTAGACAGTTGTATGTAATTCTCTAAGAGATTCTAACCTTACTAGTAAAAGAGACATGGGGAATTTTGCCAATACTTAGCCTACAAAAGCTAGTCAAACCGAACGTTTTTTACTTGATTTTACACTTATCGAAGTTCACTTATTTTATATTAAGTCTGATCTTTTCTCTTATGACATTTAAAGCCAAGATCAGATTACCATAAGAAAAAGTTTAGTTCGCAAATATTCTATTCAATGGCCAGCAGCGTTAGAAACAGCATTGATTTAACAGATCACATGTGTAACACGTTATGGCCTCCGAACAAGATATACAAGACTTAGACAACCATCTGAACCGCCAGCACCTAATGGCGCCTTAACATTTGGACAAGGATAGAAGGAGTGAAAAGTTTTTTTTGTCATCATAATCGCTCGCATTCGACTTGCTCATTTTGAAATCCAAACTGTTGAGACATCATTAAAATAAAAAATAGAAATATCTATTCACTCTTCTCTCTGACGAAATCATATCGTGACGTAAGCGTTACGTCATCTGAAAAGCGAAAGATATAATTGCTATTGACTGGTTAGGATAGACCACTTTTGTATACCTACCTGGCACATGTCAGAGGGTATCTTCCAGACGAGGCTTTACCGAGGGGCAGAGTCTCGTCTCGGAAAACTGACTCCGTTTTTACGTGGTCTATAGGGAATTTTTGTCCAAGCCTACGCGCTCGGATACCCCACATTAAAACTCGGCCTTATGCCGCATCTTGCTGTGTGGAGCAGCGGGCAAATAATACTTTTGTGTACCTAGTTAATGTGAGTAAGTGTTGTTCCTGGCTACGTCTTTGTCTATGATCCAAATTAAGATTCTCAAATTCCCCAGTTTGTTTTTGGCCCCTTTTTTCATCTAGACCGGGTCAGCGTTTTTTTTCTCTCCATGGCCATATTTATTTTATCCTTTCCCTCTCCCTTAACGAGAGAGCCTCTTGATTTTGTCTAAAGGCAGAATACAATGGCCTCTCTTAAATCTTTTGAGGGCTGGGCGGGTTCGACTAACATCAGTTATCCTTATTTTGTTTGTTTTGATATTTTTGTTTGCTTTTTTGGTTCGTCCCCACCCGCTCATTGTATATCATTGATAAAGCTTTATGTATAGAATTTTATGATCATGAAATTTTAAAGTATCATAGGGTGCGTCTTGTAGAGTGCATGAGGTATTATGGTACATGGAGGATTGAATGAAGACGGACAAGTTCTTTTGGTGAATGTGCAAATTGTAACGAATGAATGGGCCGCGAGTCTGATTAGCTAGGTATAGGATAGCAAGTAACGACCAGCCTCAACCCAATTCCTCCCTTTTTCGGCCTTGTGCCACAATAGTATATTTTATACAGTAAATCTTGCGATTGACTTAGTGTGGCATATGGACACTTTGGTGTGGTGTTATGTTAGCAAACTTGTCTAACTAGATCAATTACGGCTGAATAGTTAGTTCGAGCCTCTCTTATTTGTTTAATCATTTCAACCCAAGCAAGACGATAAAGCCACTAAGACTCAAGGGATACTAAGTGTTTAAATTCGTTGTCTAAGTAAAGCTCATCATAACAATTACCATGTGAATATTTATAGAAAAGTCACAGGGAAGATACGATATGGTGATGGGAACGTGACTAATTCTGAGATGCCATGTCAGGACTAATAAAATAAAATAAAATTGCAGATTCTTCTTTCTATTTTATCAAGAATCTTTAAATACATAGCAGAAGCACCAAACCAGATGTGACAGCAATATTAAGTTGATGGACGAATAGCTGACTTAAAAATATGTATGATAGATTCTGGTGAGAAAGATTGTTTAGCACGACATAATCAAGTAAATTTCCTAGAAGCAAGCTTAACAATTGATTCAATATACTCTTTCCACTCCCATGTCAGTGGAAAACATTAGCCCAAGAAAGTGCAATGAGTCACTCCCCAGGAGGTTAGCATCATCTATGCTTATGAAAGCCTCCCCTCCCCCCAAAACTTAGTACTCTATATTTGCGGTCTTGTGACACATCTAAGATACGCTATTTTTTCTCTTTTTATACGTTTCAATAACCCCTTCCCATCCTCGTTAAATGACAGAAATATCAGTTCTTTAGTAGATGCTTGTCGCCTTTCGTATTTTCAGGTGTGTTTTTTGCCATTATATTTGAATGTATGAGTGATTGTGTGAGCGTTGTTAGAGTGAATAGATCGATTGTTATCCAGTCCTACATTGTTTAACTTGCTTAACTGATATTTGGCCCCACCTGCATGGGAGATTTCTATTACTAACACTGTTTTTTCTTTTGTTTATTAAATATATTCTTGGGCAATGTAAATACACATTGGTGTTTAAAAATTTTATCATCGACAACCAACATTAGATTGTACATTTGTGTATCAGTTAGGACTTCAAGTTTGAATTATTATGGTGCCTGTAGTAAGACTGGTAAGGAAGAATGTGTTGTTTGTTGAAAGGACCATACTTCTTCGAACCTTGTGGACCGGCGCTATAGAATCACAAACAAAGAACCTTACTACATAGCAAAAACCGCAATACTTGATGACTTTCAACAGCAGCAATAACTAAAATGAATAGCACATGTAAGTCAAAAAGAGAATAATAACAAAATCAAGATGTTGATCTTCGACGCTATTTCATATTAAAAAAGGATTCCTCATCAATACTAGAAAGAACAATGACAGTTATCTATATTAGAAATCTACTTAATGAAAAATTTATAGTGAGATTTTATAAATTTCCAACAAAAGTAGCACTGGTTGCTCGGTCAATGAATGCCGAATGTTTCCTTATAAGGAAACTTGCTAACATTTCCATTACCTTCAGAGATATAGGGAACAGATATATACACTTTGATCCCACTCAAATGGTCAGGAAGTAAAAGAGAAGTTTAATTAGAACTGGCTGCAATATTTATTTTCCGATAAATACAAATATAGCACACGGCCAAATTAGAGGATAGGGAGGGCTGATCATGTCTTTTTTTTAAGCCTTTCACCCCAAGAAGGCGGGAAGTCACTAGCAAGCAAAGGGTTACAGAGAGTTGGAGCGAGAGCAAAGAGGAGTGATAGACAAAAGGATGAAGAGGAGGATAGGGGATAGATCATGGCATCTGGAGACGTCGATTGATATTACATTTGAATAGTTGGAGATTATAGCTATCAGGGAATAAAGAAATGGGGAGAAGTTCCACAGGCTAGAAGTGCGAGACATGAAGCTATTGGAGTAAAAGAGACGGCTACATTTCGACAGTGAAAGGGTGAGTGCGAGATGTCAGCCTAGTTGAACGCTTAAATTTATGAAGTCTGGGAACCATTGAAAGCAGCTCATCGGAGCAGTTACCATGAAAGCATTTGTAAAAAAAAAAGACAGAGGGAGGCGACGGCACGTCTGTGAGAGAGCGACTGCAGACGAGATGCCAGATCAGGGCCAATTACATTGCATATCCGTCTTTGGATTTTATCTGTCTTAGCTAGATACAATCACTGAGCCAAACATACAATAATGTTCTTAGCATTAACTCAACACAATTTTACTTACCATTTTTACACCAGTCACCATAATAGCATAATTCCTCTATGCTGATTGTTTCCTTATAAGGAAACCGTTAATATTACGATTATTTCTACCTTTCTCCGATATTTGCCCTGGTGCCACATCTGATGTATAAAATCATCAATAAATAGTTATTATACTGATATTTTAGATATAAGGAGGTTTGGACGTTCGTAAAATACCAGATAATTTCATGCTGAAATTATTGTTGTCGTTGTTATAGTTGAAACGCTATGGTCGGATGGTCTTAAGGCAGTCTGGAAAATGATTGTTATTCTATCCCTAATAAAGTCAAATTGATCGCGTTATATGAGGCTTAAAATGGAAATCTTTGATATAGTATGTAAAGAATGCATTCAAAGTGAGAATAGTCAATACTTATAGAATAAAAATGACGTGTCACTCATGATTACTTTTTTCATTCTAATTTCAGTTGCTTTTTATTACAACAAACCAGACCGTCACTTCCCGGTTATTAGTAAATAGCGTCGATTAGAAAAAAAAAGTTGTATTAGTAACAATATAATCCTGAAATTTTCTACATCCAGCGGCAAGGTCTCTAGTCAGGAGAGTGGAACTTTTGAGGTGTGTGGAACTACCACTTAAATGCTGTTGTTCCCAGGCCCACTTTGACCCGCAGTGTTAGCAAAGGTTAGGGTCCCAGTTATGGGCAAATAGTGAACCTCCAAACAAAAACCAGCAAGGAAGAACTTTCATGAAAACAAATCTATCTGTCCTACAAAAATGTATTCTAAAATATAACTTTAGCAAAACACATATGAGGGGGGACACAAAAGTAAGCGGAATCGTTTTTTGTGTGACAAGCCCGTAGTAGTTCAGGCTTCCACCGCTAGATGCCGCTTGAGGCAACCCTCAGGCATCAGTGTGCTAACTGGTGTCATCGTGGGAAGACGTACAGCTCCGTAGTTCATATTTGTTTTGAAGAGTTTCACGCCTTTTCGTCTACTTTTACCATGACTGAAAGGATGCCTGTCATAAATTGAAAGAACCGTTGGAAATTGATCCAGACCTTTTTTCGAAGGTCATCACTGGTGACGAAAGCTGGTGCTATGGCTACGACCCGGAAACAAAGCAGCAATCAAGTCAGTGGAAGCATCCACTGTCGTCACGACTCCCAAAAAGCGCGTCAAGTGAAGTCCAATGTCAAGACGATGCTGATTTGTTTCTTTGAGGTGAAAGGAATTCTCCACAAAGAATCTGTTCCCTCTGGTCAAACTGTTAAACAGGCTTTTTACTTTGAAGTCCTGAAGCGTTTGCGAGACAAGGAGAGATGAAAAATCCCTGACCTGTGGCAAAGTGGAGGGTGGTGGTTGCATCCCGACAATGCGCCAGTGCACACCACCTTGAGTGTTGGACAGTTTTTGACCAAAAATGGCATGACCCCACTTCCCCACCCTCCCCATTCACCCGATCTCGCCCCCGCCCTGCGACTTTTTTTGTTCCATCGAATGAAGAAAGACCTCAAGGGAAAACGTTTTGCAGATGTGGAAGAGGTTAAGAAGAAAACGACGGAGTCATTAAAAAACATAACTTAACAAGAGTTCCATGATTGCTTTGAACAGTAGGAAACACGTCTGGACCGGTGCATTGTTTCAAATGGAGAATACTTTGAAGGTGATAAGAATATAAACATGCAACAATAAATGAATAAAATTATATGACACAATTCCGGTTACTTTTGGGTACCCCCCCTCGTACATATCACCGCCACGAGTAATCATGTCTACACAAACATGTGTATGTACAAAAGCTGAGTATCATCTACCATGTATTCAATTGTGAAAGAAAAATAACATGTAACATATTT